GTCCCACCTGTACACACTCAGTTGTAGACCTCAGACTGAGTTTTCTTTGCTACTTAGTCTTGCTATCTAGCCTTTCATTCAGTAGCAGAAGACAGAAAAACATTTAAAAAATGGTATCTGTGATTGTAAATTCTCTAGACTGGTATGTAATTGCAAGGAGGGAGGGTATAGTTTTAGTAATGGAAAGTTAACTATTATTTAATTACAAGACTCTAATATGATGGTGTCTTTTTTATAATAGACTTCAATAGGAGATTTACCTGAATAGGGACAGAGAAAAGGCTGCAAGTTTTGCTCCTACATTTTTTTTTTGTCATGGAGGGTCATCAGACCCTTCTCAGTACCTACTAGGTGCCTTCTGTTTTCCCTTTCCTTTCTCTCAAGAAACACAATCACATAATGATTTGACTGGTAAGGTAAATTCTGAGTTTCTCCTACCCAAACCAGTGCCTTACTTCTGGATCTTTCCAATAACCCAGTGCTCCACAAAAGTAAAAAACCATAACGCAGTCTCATAAGGTACCATAATGTACATAAGAAAATCCATAATGTACACAGTGTTGGGAGGGGAGAATTTCCTTCCAAACTCCTCTGGTGATCGGTTTATAAACTGAAGTGTGGCATTTGATTATGCCTCTTCACATATGACAACTAAAAATAATACTATTGTTCAGATAACTACCCTGCCCCTTTTTAAGTCCATCTATCAATTCTGGGCTCTTTATCACCATGTCAAAGGAGAGGACTCTCAGAAATCCAGTCATGTTTAAGCACCACCAAGCCATTCCCTGTAATTCTACCCTAGCAAAGTCAGTGCAGAACTCCAAACCCCTTGTAGCAAGTGAATACCTATGTCTGGAGAGTCTAACTTTAGCCCTCCTACAGGGTAGCGAGCTGAGCCCTACCAGCAGGCCACAGGGTCAACACAGTTAGGAGGGTTTAAAATAATATAGTTCTTTTGAGAATGCTTCCATATTTTTCACAAAATAGGAAATCCTAAAAGATTAAATTCTCTGCTCTGCTAAATTCAAACACAAGTGAGCTTCACAGCAGTAGCTGTTAACATTTGGTAATGATGCAATCAGTGCAGGGGAGGCATACAGTTTAGCCACTTCTGTATTAGTAACCCAATTACTCTGAAGACAAGGAGCCCACATGCATATAACCACTGCTAAATCAACTCCTTGTTAGTAAAGTAGAAGCATGCCATTGTACCCAGCCAATTTATAATGTTTTCTTTCATTAGGCAAGTCTTCAGTAATATGACAGTCTTATGTAAAGCAATATTCATTCAACAGAGTTCCTAGAAAGATAAATGATACCAATGAGTCTCATACAACTGATGTGTAGACTACAGCTTTACTTCATGAGAGGTTGCTCTGCATTAAATTAGCTTAACATTCATGTGAAACTATGACAAAAAATGAAAATAATTAATTCCTTAGACTGTTAGCCCCATAAAAAGCATCAAAGAAAACTCAAAAAGATCATTTACTTGCGATGTCATTTGTTACTAACTCACTATCATGGGAGTTTTGCCTGAAAAAAGAAATAAGACAGACATAACTGGGCCCCTTATGTGCTAACCATAAATATGCTTTCCAGTCCCTGAAAATGTACATTGTTAATTTGCTTTATAAGGAGTGCCCCACATACACAGTAGTATGATTCGCAAGCTACAAGTCTATTGATATTTTTATCTGTAAACTATCAATGTAATGCTGACCATCACTAAGCTTGACATAAACAACCATTTTAAATATCAGAACCTGCTCATTCATCAATTTTATCAGTGACAGATTAAACTTTTCATATAACCCACATTTAACAAAACTAGTGCTTTCCAACTACAAAGATAATGGTTTCTGTAGTCACAGTTTTCATGCATTTTAACAACCTGTGTCTTTGGATTTCACATTCAATCTCCTTTTTTTGTCTGTAAAACAATTACTGAAGGTGGACTGGATTTAACATTAGGTTTAGATTTTCATCATCTAATTTGAGTAGGGATTGTTGCACTAACAAATGTTCTAGTGCTTTTGGTTTTTCAAAACTTCTTGGTAATATGTTCCTGCCACTAAATTTTGCAAATCCATTGTTTATGGATCTAGTTTTCTGTGACTCGCTGAATTTCCACATATATTCTAACTTGATGTGTCATTAAACCTTGGATTGACTGTCAAGCAGCAGCCAGATGCCCCTTATCCCCTCAGTGCAAACTATCAGTAAACCTTAGCATAACTTTACTTTGAGCCTTAAACTAACAGCACGTGAAAAGATTAATATGAATAAATTCAAAACGAATCAGATCCCTTCTTTAAATGTTGACACAGTATTATTTATATCCCATAAATACCTTCTTGACTAAAATTCATCCCAGGAGATTGGCATCTTGCCAGTTCTATTCATATTTACTGTATTTTTATAGTACAGTTGGCCAAGGATAATATTTAAGACAAAATATGCCTCAGGGTATATACAATATCTCTTATAGTTTTCCTTTTAAATCTCCTCATCGCTAAAAATATTTAGTCTGAACTTTATAAAATGCCCCACAAAGACCTATCAGAAATCTGTAGTGATATATAGCTGACCATGAGTATAATTAGAGCATATTTGTAATACTTGGGCTATAGTCAGTTACTGAATGCTAACAACGTTGTGGTAAAAAATAAAAAAAATGAAAAACTGAATCACTGATCTTTCCCATGCCTTCATCTCAGCAGCTTTTGACCTTCGCAGCATTCAAATTGATCTCCTTCTCCCTTCTTATCACTGTCTTCCCAACCAGATCAGGAAATGCAGAGTTAAAAAAAAAAACCTCAGAGTGAAGCCTAGGAGAAAGTGTATAAAGCCGCCAAAGCTGCGCTTTCAATTTGTTTCTTTAAAATATGGTGGAGCAATTTCGTTCTTTCTGTCTTTTTTGGAAAGGCTCATTCAATCCAGTATAACTAGAGAGCAGTGGAAAAACAGTTAACCTACTTACTCTGATGTTAGCAACAGCACTCGCACAGTAGTACTGGATCTGCTAAATGGCCTTCTGATCCCAAACTTCTGATGCACTCTGTTGGTAGATACCTGCAATCTACTTCATCCCTCCAAAACCTCTGATACCATAGTGCACAGCCAGTCAGTATTTTAAAAACAGATCCTCGTTTTGTCAACATGAGTCACCTCACACACCTCAGATATTTTAATTTGCTGGAAAGTGTGAGGCTTAGTTTAGTAGTAGTAGTCATCCTCTGTATGCTTGTCTGTAGCGGGAGAAGAGTCTGATTTGCAGTCAGGATCCACTGCGCTTTACCTTCAAAGACCCTCTGTTACAGGGTCACATCTATGTGTCAAGGAGTTGCTCTGTACCACCTTTGTTTGTAAAAGCTTGCTACCGTGTTCAGGGCACGACCTATTGGGTCTCAAAGCAAAGTGCTGACTTTCGCCAAAATACCATCAAGAGCTGTCTGTGTGGGTTGAAAGGAAGCTTCTGTCTCCACATTATTCTCCAAATTACACTGAACCTCTCCCGCATACCCACTTAGCTCCAACATACATTAAAAAAAGCCTCTCTTCCCTGAGGGGAACAAGGGTGGAGTGTATTTATCATTTATGGATGGTGCCATAATTACAATAATAAAATGGCTCTGGCTGCCAGGGTGTCCTGTACCTGATGCTGTCATTTAACAATAAAAGAAGAAAGGCAGCTGCAGTGAGTGGGGTTCAGACACTTTGGCTGCCATCCTGGGACTATCGCATGCAAGACACAGCAAGCCCCAGTGCTACAACTTGTTAAACTAAAAATAAATGAAAAGTAAATGCAATTAGAAACTCTAGGATAAAGTTACTAAGATGGCTGCATTATCTATTTAAGCAAGACGTATGTGCTTTACAGAAACAGCAAGTATATAAGGCATCGAGGAGTAGGGGGGAGGGAGGAAGAGGGAGGGAAATGAAGAGTGGAACTGAGTTTTGGACAGAGTCATGGTGAAGTTATTTTTTTCTTCCTTTTGGTATTTAACCTTCCTTGGCATGACAGTCTAGATTTTTTTTAAAGGAGTCCTATGCTTTTTTTCTAAACGCTCAACTCCACGCCAAGACGCAGGGGCATGCTGTTATGATTATTATTCATCCTAACTGGAGTCTGAGAGATACGGGTGCAGAACATTTATTCCCTGTTACTGTGCACAATGTAGTATGTATCATCAGGGAGTCATTAAAAAAAAAAAAAAAAAACAAAACAGCAGAGGGATGGAGAGGGCTTCCAAGAAGTGAGACTTTAGCAGGGAAGGGAAAAAAAGCTGGGGGGGTGGGGAGTGTGGGGGGTTGTACCTGCAATGAAATTCAGCATTAACTAGAAGGGACCTCTGCTCCACTGGCGAGATGTCCCTGCATCTGTCCTTTCCTAGGGTACCAATTTAAGCTGCAGTCTTCAAACAGATGTGCTGGGAGGGGTGAGGGCAGGCAGAGGCAGTCAAAGCAGCTAGGGAATGTTATGCCTTTATATTCTGGTTTTCTTTTCTTTCCCTTAAGTGTAAGGGGAGATGGAAACCTGCCCGACTGAGACACACTAAGAGAAACAACAGCAGCGGAAAGACACTGGGATAGGGCTGGAGGCATCGGGAAAGGGCAAGGGGTGGGGGGGGGGGTTGGGGGTTGGGGGGGGACAAGATAACCTTGGCACCGGGAGGCT